GCCTTCGCGACTCCTCCGCAAAGTTCAAATCTCCGGCAGCTCTTTAACCGCATCTGTGTTTACCCATTAGCGTTTTTCGGGCTGGCAGCTTAAAATGTTTACCCGGCTCGCCGACGAAGCCCAAGACTTGGTGCTCTTTTGGGGGGAGGAGGTATCCAAGGTGTACAATCTTTGTTTGCTTTCGAATTATTTCGTTTTTTGGCGAATGTTAAATACGCAATGCGTAAGTAAGGTAGCTCAGCGGGCGGGCGGCGAGGGGCGTGGCAGACTGAAAGGCATTGGAAAGCTAGTTGGCGCCATCGTAAATTCATTGAGATTCCTTTTTAATGGAGATTAATATGAGCAGAGTCGTCGCCCGCGAGGCGCCTCTCATCCGCTCATCCCTAGATGGACAGCGATTTATTGACATTGCTAAATGTTTTTGAAAAACTTTTGATATTTGCTTAGTTTTCATTTCATTGTTATTTGCCATTTGTCTATGGCCAAGCGGCTAATTAAGAACGTGGGAATGTCTGAGGGCAATTCGGTGGCGTTTTGGGGGCTACGTGACATTTCGGGATGATGAGTGGAGTGATTGGGGATTGATGGGGGATTTTTTAGCTTAAGAGTTGGGGAATTTTGAATTAAGAAAATTAAGAAAACGAATGTAACTTTATTTAATGGGAGACAAAATGTTTAAAGATAAAGGGAAAGGCAGTTTAATAGATATCTTAGAGTTAGGGTCCACATTTCAGTCTTTTTTTTACTTTTCAAAATCGTTACATTTCAGCTTAACCAACAATAAAAATAAAACATAACCAAACCCTTAAGGTAATTATTCAAAGCAGTTAAATTAGCTACAATAAATAGACTTCCCGTTCAAAACTCAATTACCAGCAGACGGTCTCAAGTTGCTTTTGGCATTCTATTGCTCCAATCACACCTCTCCAGATTAAACGAACCCTTCTGACGCATTTAAATAAAATTTACAATTGGCAAATGATTTACAACCCTTTTGAGCAACAACCTTTGCCCGCCTGAGCTGTCATCCCGAGCCCAAGAAATGTATTTCTTTCCATTTTTTCTGATTACCACAAATCGAGGGGACCAAATAAAACGATTAGGAAAGGGTGAAAAAGAAATATAAAAGCAAAAGCATTGAAGAGGAGGGAAATGGTAGGTAAACCTTTGTATTTGTATGTGGTCAAACGTTTTATGGGCGAATCAATCAATTTCAATGCAATTTCAATTAGGCCAAGATAAGCGCAATCCAATCAAATGGAGCAATGGTCGCTATCAGGCCCGAGGGTGTGTGTGTTCAATAAACAATTTTAATATTTTTTAATTATGAAAACAAGTTGATTATATAAATTAAATCGCTGCCCCGTCACCGATTAGATTACGGCACTTCTTCCAAACTTCAATTCTTAACTTTTCGAGTGATGTGACGACCATTTAAGCGTCTTTAAACAAATTTTTATAATTTTTCCATCTTCATAAATATAAAGGGGGAGGCCCCCTTTGCTGATAAGGGATTTTGAATTAATTGAAAATTGATTATTGGCGATATATATGAGCGGGCCGATAAGAAAGTTCCAAATTGAAGGCAGCCTAGATAAGCTATTCTTATTATTCTCGCCTCGAGGGTAGCGCTTTCATAATTGAAAATTAATCCATCATAATAGACGTCAAAGGCTGAAATTAAAGTTGAAGTCTTGAAGGGTCTTTCAAGCCCTAAAAACTTACCGGAGAGAAAGGAGAGCAAATAAAATATGAATTGATAAGCGCAGATAATAAATTATGTGGCGGCAAACAAAAACCAAGAAAAGGTAAAGTAAATAAACCGAAAACGTACAAAAATATTAATAAAATAAGGAGGATATCGGTGAGAGGGGGGAAAAAACTGGAGGAGCCGTCATTATCTGGCGATTGAATGCACTTAAGCAAACAATTACAAACTGCCAGGCAAATAGGAAAGCCACTTTGTATCTCTGTATCTTTGTATCTGCGCTCCAGTGTCTCTGATCAAACACGGAATACAAATCAAAATGCGATTTTCGTGCGTCCTTCTTATCGGAAAGTGCACGTTTACCTTTCGCTTCCAATCGTCTGGCGCTTCATCGCACAAACACACACACTGCATTTGAGGCCCAACTATATACACTCGTCGTCGTCCTACCATATGTACAAGGAAGTACTCTGCTGGCAGAGGTTAAAAAACTCCAATGTCGCAACGGCAGCTAAATGTATCTTAAATGTGTGCAAACAGAACCACACATTCCACTCGACTCGACTTGGTTTCGACTTCGGTTTTCGGTTTGGGTTTGGGTTTTTGGGTCTGGCTTGGCTGGGAAATTTGTTTGCGCTGTGGCTAATGAGGCAGCCCGATGCAGATACAGAAGCTATACATAAACAGCGATATAGATATCGCGGTGCTTCCATCTAGGTTGCTTTAAGATTGCGGCATTCCTTGGATAAACTTTAATAGGAAAGTAACGGAATAAAGTTGTAATTTTAAGGATTAACTTGCTTTTAGGGTAAGTAACTATATAAAATCATGATTTTATAAATTAAAGTCACTTTATAAAATCACAAAAGCACCTAAGGCCTGCAACCTTCACTTAATGCCAGGGAAGTTAGAACCAGTTGGGAATTATAGCGCACTCTTGTGAGATTTTTGTCGAACAACATCCTAGGGTGTGCTAATGTTGCGTCTCCAAAAGGGGAGAGCTTTTTACTACTCTACCTCTTGTGTCTGTCCTTTAAATTGATTTAAATAAATAAATTAAAATTTAAAGAAAAATTATTTATGGCTAATTTTAACGATTTAAAAAAAATTTTTTTTTTGTTTGGCAAACGTCACTTTATATCAAGAATGTTAAAACTAGTTGGGAAGAGCACACGTGAAAGTTTTTTGTGAAAGAAATTATAGGGTGAATTCGCCTTGGTTTCACGCTATTCAGAAATATTTTGGGGCTTTGCTAATCTAAATTAAAATTAATTAAATAAATAACATAAGCTACAAAAAATATTTATGAAAAATATCGCTTCAGCTCCCATCTCTATCAAACATATTAGCCACAAATCACACTTATCATTTAAGAAACGCCCTATAACTAAACCGACAATCTTAAACGAACGGAAATAAACCAGGTGGTGGAGGAGGGCCCATTGCCTAATCAAAATAATAATTTGCAATCGTTCAGCTAACGATTTCCTCACTAGGGATTATCGCCTAAAGTTTTAGAGGCAGGCATTATCTCATTAATGGTTCCCATAATTCTTAGGTTTTATATATATTTATATCAATTAAAAATACATACCAGGAAGGGCAGAATGGTATTGAGTTTATCAGTTTTTAATAAGTTTGCTCCATTGGCGAGCCAACAATAACAAAAGCAAATCAATTCGCTCACTTAATGAAAAAAAAACACAACTCAATTATAAACTTTATCTGCGGTATTTGGGGCGGAGTTGGGGGAGTGGCCTTTCCTGGGTCCGCAATTCATTTAAAAGTTATTTTGTCAATGTTGAAAATCAATTAAAATGTGAGTCAATAATACTTTATTATTGCCATATTATTAAATATTTATTTCATTTCATTTTCCCTTCAATTTATTCAACCCATGCTACCTCCTTTCGAGTGACTGTTTATTATAGTTGATTTATAATGCAAATTTAAAGAGTTCGTTTCCTTGATTGCAGAATACTTTATGGTTTAATTTTCTTTATTTATTGTTATTATTTATAATTATCAAGATTTGTGATTGGGAAGGAAGAGTGCAATTGGAAAATAGTTTATTGTGTTAATCATTTTTAAAACAATTTTTTATTTTTACTTTAATATAATTTATTTTCTGGAATATTTATAGCCAGGATATAATTCGTATTGCAAAATTGATTGTTTAGTTTAAGGCCTTAAATTTCTCCTAGATGTCTTAAAATATTCACTTGAGAAACAAGTTTAAATGAGATTGTTGCAATCTCTCAGTAAACATTAGGAGGATCGCTCGATGCTGACCCACCTGAGTTTGCATTAAGCATTGCATATTGCAGAAAATAAGGAAAATCAGGGGGAAGACAACAGTTATAGGTGGGTGGCAGGCATAAAGGTAAACAATAAATACCAAAGTGCAGTAATAATTTGCAAGCACACAGTGAACCACTCTCTGTGCCCGCAACTCTCTGTCAACATAATGAGCCAATCCAATATCTGCCACTTTTGTAGATACAACTGAATAAAGTATCCATAGCTGTGTCTGTCTTTGTAGCTGCTGGTATGTAAAAATTATTTATTGATAACGCAATTTCATGCCAATTATTTGCACATCAATATTTACTCAATTATCAATTGCAATCCCGTGGGGTGTGGCTGAGAGGCTTGTGATTAATGAGCGGATGGGATGATGTCTTCCAAAAGGGTTGCTTTCCCCTTTTTGTTTTGCGGTTATTGTTTTAAAATGTTTTCAAAAGTCTTTTACAATTTGTTTTCTCCATCTGATTTTTTTTATACCCATATATTTGGACAGCATACAAGTGTCAAAGTCAATTCAATCAACCCTCTGATGTTGTCCCTTCCTTTTTTTGCCAGCTCTTCGAGTTTTTGTTGACTTAGCTAACTAAGGCTCGGGAAATCTGTTGAAATTTTCTGGCATTATTGTTCACTTATCGGCTGAATTAACACGACAAAAAGGGGAGAAATGGCAGGTCCACGAAAGAGATTATCCCTCTCTTTCCCATTTCAAGCAGCCGTCTCTTTCGCTATCGCATAGTGACCGCATCAGCTAAATTGCAGCAACATATGTGACAATTTATTATTTATTGGTGATTTATATTTCCAGCCGATATTTGCTGGCAAATTTAACGCCTGATTAGTGCTTAGCCTATTAAACCAGAATGATTTTCAGGGGTGTCTGTGTAAAATCCAAGCCTAGGAAAGCTTTTCTTCGATTTCTGATTTCATAATGGGGCTAATTAGGTTGAGTTTATAATTATACTAATCGATAATATATATGAAAATATTTGTAAGAGTGTATCAATATTTATTTCTCAATACCCATAAATTTATAATTATTAGAAGCATTCCTTGCGTTATAAAAAGTATATTCCATGGTTTGAGCATTATTTCGCTGTTTTCACGGTGCATAAACCAATTGCCACAAGGACATGTTGTGCCTTCCATAGCTGATGACCAAATGGCTCTGGTGCACCTATAGCAAAGGTCTTCATCCTCATCCGATTTCTTTAGTTTTTGACAACCAATTTTAGGGGACCAAATGCAGCAGTAGCCAATAATGGCCTCTGGAATTGGATAATCATTAGTATGTAAACTTATGCGTAAAGCACTACCTTACTTTTTTTCTTAAACTCCATGGAAGGAAGCATGCATTTGCTTAGGGATTCTGGAATATCAGAGGATTTATTACTATTATCAATCAACAAATTGGCATCAAAATCGTAATCGCAACTCCATCCCGTTGTCGTTATTTCGCACTTTTCGTTCACTCTCGAGCAATTTGCACAGCTCATCTCGTCATAGAAGTTTCCCTTACAATACTGGATAGTAGCGATCAACGCGAATATAAACCACATGGTTTAAGTCGGGAATTTAGTATATTTTCTCTAAGAACTATTGAGATGAGAAATAGTTTTATGAAAAGTGAGTAAAATCGAAAAAAAGTGACAGTCTTGGCATACTTAATGTTGAAAATCCCTAAAGAATTATATAAGAAGGTGTATTTGTTAAAAACTTATCACCTTAAATTCTTAATTATGAACTTTAAACTTTGTATTGCTTCTGCATTCTCGTTTTTTTTCTTAGCCTTACTTCATCACCATTTTCTGAGTCCTTAAACTATGTTCACCCCTTACTTTCCAGCACATCTTTCTGTGGCATACAAAATTTTAACTCTAATTGCATATTTACGTAACCATTTCCCCAAAATCAAAACGTAATCAGGCAAACAAAGCCTGGCAACAAACACAATGCGAACTAAAACCCAAAGCCCAATCCAAATCCTCACACCTCCAACTTTAGCTCCCTTTTGAAATCCCCATAACTACGGATGGCCACCATGTTTGTGTTGTTATATAAAATAAACTATTCTGAAATAACACAAATCATACACAGAGAATAAGAGAGAGAGAGGGAGAACGAGCCAGGATGGACCAGTGCCAGGTCATGTCTGGAAGCCCCTCTCTGCCACCCATAAATGCCAGTTAAATGCACGTGGATGAGTAGATAAATATCGTATAATGAAAATAAAATAAGAACCAGATAGGAACTTTGGCAGGAAACAACAGCAATCAGTCGTCATTGCAGACATCGCACTAATTTTGAGTTCGTTTTTGGGAAAACATTCTCGGCTTGGACTTGGGGGAAAATTTTGGAATGAGTTAGGTCCAAACTACGTGGCTAAAGAAAATACACTTTGGCACGTTTCTTGTTAGCGAGCAGTTTTCCTGCTGCCCCTCTTTCCCCTCAACTCTTTTCCTGTCTGGACATTGCATGATATATTCCTGTACTGCTTTATATATATATATAAATATATATATAATGGTGTGTTTTTCTGGTCTTGGCCTCTCAGACTTGTACTGGAATTGTGCATTTCCTCGTTCTTGGGCTAGCTGCTTGGGTCTCTGTTTACTTTGGCAAAGGGTTAAGGCTTCAAATTAGGAAAACAATAAATAAATACAGTTTAAAAAGTGTTTCCGTAAAATGGGTAGAAAAATTCAGAACATTTTTTAAATATTATAGTTTAAATTTATTATTCTTTTTACAGAAATATGAAACATAGGGATTTATAAGTATTGTTTAAAAAGGAACCAAAACAAATAGCCTCTAAAAAATTAAAGAAATATATATTTACAACAAAACTAAATATTTTTATTAGGAAACTTTCAGTCTTATTTATTATTTTATTATTATTAAAGGAATTTCAAAAGATTTTTAAAGTTTGATTGATTAAGGATTGGGAAGCTACCTTCTAAAAAGCAGGGAAAGACAGAGAACTTGAGGGAGTTACGACATTTTGAGTATTATAATTAAAGACAAGTGAAAATTATACAATTAAAATTAGTAAAATAATATGTTATAAGAAAGTTATTTTAATCTCAAATTTGTTTAGTTTACCTTCGACCCGTTTTAATCCCTCTTAACAGATAAGTTATAGTATATAATATTACTTTTCAAATCCTTCCTGTACTCCCCTTTAATCCATTTATCATTAAGTGCTGTTCTATGGCCAGTCTGCCTCTCAAACTCCCAGCCACTTGGTGGCAGCCATTCATGTCCACTTAGTAATCCATCAAGGGAACATTAAACCCGTCGCCATTCGGTGTCGTAAAGCGAGGCACACGAAAGTGAGACTGCATTATGGGGCATTACGCATTAAGGAGAACCTCCCGGTAGCCCCCGGACTGCCAAGCAAGTTGTAAAAACGCCAATGAATCGAATCGTTTATGGTTATAGCTTCAAGGAGCGAGAGGAGATTATCGATTTGGAGGACCGACCTTAAAGGCTGCCTGCCAGCTCCTGGTGCACAGCTTAAATCGTGGCCCAGTCGAGTGCCTTAATTGCTGGCCTAATCATCTGCCAGACTTCCGTCTGAGTCCTGTCTTTTTGCCTTCTCTTTTTCTGCTGCCATTAAGGACGACCTCTCGACCTCCCACTCCCTCTCTCCCTCTCTCTCTGTCCAGTTGATTATGAAGATTCTTCTTACGTCTTTTGCCGCTGAACTTGTTAGTTGCTCAACACTCCATAATGATGGCAATTATAGCCTCGTTTTTCCAACAATTTATATGAAATTTTCGCCGGGAGAACTGAGTTTGAGTCGACTTCCCTCTCTGTTCAGTTCTAGCCCCGCCCTCAATGGACATTTTATGCCATTTGGCCACGCCTTATGGCATAGTACTATCTCTTTTTGGCCTGCGCACACAAATAGCACATACTCCATCTTGAAATCGGGTTTCCAGAGAGCGACAGAAAGAGAGAGAGAGCAAGAGCGGTGATGGTGCTAATGGTTCCGGTGGTTGAGACTCGTATTACCCGACACTCGCATCGTACTATATGATACCACGTTTGGGTTCCAGCGGCGCACAGTCGTTAATGAGCGCTCGTCGAGTTCGTTTCGCCTCGAACAAAGATAAAACCAGCGACGTGCTATTCGCGTATCGTTTTACGCAGCGTGTTTGAAAAGTGTTTTCGAGGGGATTCTAAAAATTAACAAATATAGAAAATATATACCCAAAAGCGAAAGCAAAACTCTTGGTGACTCCCAGTGAAGCATGTCCAGTGCCCAAGTGTCGCAGCAGCCGCCACCGCCGCCGCTGACCACCACAGTCGTTGCCAGTGGGAACTCCTCGATGCCGTCGCAACTTCTGCTGAGCCACATCCACCAGCATCAGCACCACAGCAGCAACAGCAGCAGCCATCACCTGCACCGCCAGCGATCCCCGCCAGCCGCCCAGGACTACGACCAGAACAGCAGCCACTCCACTCTGTCGCCCAGATCACAGTCCCACGATCCCAGTCCCAGTCCGCCGGCAGCAAGTCCCAGCCACTCCACGGCCACCACAGGCTCGCCCCTCAGCGCCTATGCTCCGGGACTGAGTCCCAGTAGTGGCGTCCAAGACAGCACTCCAGCGGATAGTAATCAAAGTCATCAAATCTCCCAAGGCATGCCTCTCTTGGTGGCTCCCTTGCCAGTGGGTGCAGCTCCCCAACCGCCGCCGCCACATGCTCGTCTCTACGTTGAAGGATTCCCGCCACCACCGCCACATCACGTTCCACATCCGCATCCCGCTCTGGGTCCCTATCCCCTGCCACGTCTTCCCCTTACAGCGGTCATGATGCCGGGCAATGCGCCACCTGCAGCAGCAGGGCCAGGAGCAGCTCCTCCTCAGCTTTCGCCACAGCCGCCTGGCAACCACCTGAGCCATAGTGGAGCCACCATGGGAACCACTCTCCTGCCACCTGCCCAAAGTCAGCCCAAGAAATCCTTCTGCATCGACGCTTTGCTGGCCAAGAGCCAGCACCAGTCGGGTGAGCCGCAGCCCATCAATGTGGATGGTCATCTGGCTGCCATTCACTATGCCCGGCATCAGGCGGAGCTGAACCATGACTTTGTGGCCGCCTCCAATGCGGCAGCGGCGGCTCATGTGGTTGCCGCCGCCGCCGGTGGAATCAGCGAGCAGGAGGCACTGCAGCGTATACGGGATTCTCGGGAGTACGATTCGCCCAGTCCCGACGGCATGTCAAGGTGAGTGTGGGAATTTTTTGGGTTGAATTTATGAATGGGGAGGATTTTTGAAATTTAGTTGGTTTAAGTAACCTTTTTATAATAATTTTTATTACAATAAAAGTCATATTTAGGCTTTACAAGTTTCTAATTATAGAAAATAAGGAAATAAAGAAAATCAGTCATTAAATGAGGTTTAATATTTTTATATAATAATAATCTTACCTAAAGTTTGATTTTAGAAATTGAAAATGCCGAAATCTTCAAGAAATTGGCTATTTACATTTTTAAAATAATTTATAAACATACTTAAGTGGAATGTTTTTGTTTAAAACTTTGAAGGCAAATGTAGGGAACCAGTTCTTCTTAATTTTTTTAAGCCATTTAAGTTTATTAAATGAAAACCCTTTTGGTTTATTTATATATTTATAACTTATATGATCTCTTAAATTACAAGTCAAAAAAGTTATTGTTATTCAATCATGTGACTAAAGAAAGACGCTTTAAATAAATCAATTTGTTTATATTCTCAAGCACTACAATTTTCTTAAATGCGAAAATAATCTCTTAAATACATTTTCCTAAATTTCCCATGCTATACTGATAAATTAATTAGTCATTTTACACAAAAACACCCTTAGTATGCCCTTTAAAATAACCACCTTCTTTAATAACAATATTAAAATGTAATTCATTTACTGCACAATAAATTTATTGATCTAAACCATTAAGACAATTAAGTCGGCATGAATAACTAGCAATAAAAATAATGTACCCAAAATCGATTGAGTATATGGTAGCAGTCATTAATTTGCATTAGTTAGCTGCTAATACCCCAACTTAAAAACCAATTCGAAAACAAATTCAGAACTAAACAATGAACCCCTTATGCATTCATGGTTAAACCATTTGGTAGCCAACTGGCTTTGGCCAAACAAAACCGGGGCACTCGGCGAGAAGCGTCCTGAAAGCCAAATGCAAAGCCCCAGTGAAGTCCCAAAGCAGCTTTGTGCCAGCCACTCGAAAACATGGCAAGCCATGGAATGCCTTCAATTGGTCAATTCCAGTTTGGTCATCGGCCACAGAGATTACGTATACGCCATGTGTCTGCTGGCATGAGTGTGTGCAAGTGTGTGCGAGTGGCTAATTTTCAAGTGCGAATTGTGTACAAAAGCAAACAAATTAGACAAAGGCGGGCAGGGTAACAAGAGGCAGTAACATTAATTGTTTTCAAAATGTGTCGCGTAATTTCGATAGCCATCGTTGGGTTAGATAATTGCCTTTAGAGGGTGTCTTATACTATTTTTCTTGCTCTACTCTTTTTTAGATCCGAATCACCGAGCTCTTCGCACCGCTCCAGTCCGCCCATTAGCCCGGGTTGTGAGGATCAGCAGCCACAGGGCAGTGGCCTGCATCCCCATCACCTGTCCATGCGCATGTCCGATCTCCATGACGAGTTCAAAAAGCCGGTGCCACCGCACAGTCCTATCCGGCCGCAGGATTTCCCGCTCTATGCGGGCGGACATCCCTACCAGCTGCTGGCTCAAGGAGGATCCGCCTTCCACAGGCCGCTGGATCCATCCGGCAAGCCGATACCTGTAAGTTTATGTATTTTAAATTACTTTTTGCATTATTAAACAATTAAAAAACCTTATTTAATATTACAAAGTAACTCTTTAAGTCAAAAGAACATCATTTATTTTCTTCTTAAAGTTAATTAAAATAATTTTATTTTTAAAATTCCTTACAGATTCCCATGGGTCACAATTTCATGCCCTCGCAGCTGCAATTCGAGTTCCTGGCCCGCGCCGGAATGCTCCACCACCGCATCCCCGAACTGGCAGCCTACCCGCACCATGCGATTCTGGGTAAGACCCGGAGACCGCGTACCGCCTTCACCTCCCAGCAGCTGCTCGAGCTGGAGAAGCAGTTCAAGCAGAACAAGTATCTCAGCCGGCCCAAGCGCTTCGAGGTGGCCAGCGGGCTGTTGCTGTCGGAGACGCAGGTGAAGATCTGGTTCCAGAACCGCCGGATGAAATGGAAGCGCTCGAAGAAGGCCCAGCAGGAGGCCAAGGAGCGGGCCAAGGCCCAGCAGCAGCAGCAGTCGCAGGCTCAGCAGCCGCAGCCGAGTGCCGCCAGTTAGGAGGAGTAGGCTTAAGGAGGAGGAGAGAGGGTGATCTGGAGGAGTCTCCAATCTAGTCATGCCGCGATCAAACCGCCGTCCCACCATTAACCACAAGTCACCCTGTTTTTCGTTTTGCGCAATCCCTTGAAATCTGTTTTTCTTTCGGTTCCGATTGCCATTTATTATTATTTTTATTTTGTGCCAACACAAAGCGGGGCACTGTGTGATATATGTAAACAAGAAATATATAAATTAAATTCATTAGCTACCCCCCGCCCCTCCCCCAACTACAGCCCCTGTTTGTACATAAACATAAATCTAAATAGGAACATAACAATAAGTAATAATGTAATCATAAATCTTAAATAAATGAATAATGCTTAAGTAAATAAATTACATTAAATGCGATTAAGTTTAGTTGGGCAACTTGTAATTTGCTTGTGTAATTTTCTGTAAATATGTGTAATTACGTAATTGTAGTATTTAAAATTAACAAAAACCACACACAGCCATGGAGGAAAAGCATAAAAGAGTTACAACAAAGTAAATAGTCGCCTTGCGACTGAATTAGTAAATTGTAATGAATTTATTTTCGAAATCAAAAAGTGAAATAATAAATTACGAAAAAACATGACATTGCATGTGAGAAGGGATTAATTTATGGGTTTTATAGAAAAACTGGAACAAGGAAACTGGGACAAGCAAGGATAATATTAAGAAAACATCAAAGAGTAATATTGGAAAAATTAAAGGTAAATGCTTATTAATTTGTTTTTGCTACTTAAAATAACAACCTTCAATTCCTATGAATTAACTAAAAACAAATTCTAAAACATAATTCAAACCATAAACCACTAAATCCCTGTGCAACTCCTAGAAAAATGCTCCCAAAATTCTCGTTAAGATTACAAAAATTATATAGGTATAAATACATTTAATATATATTCATGTGTATATCTAATCTGACTGGCTTTAAGAGCTGTCTCTGGCAACAAATTTATAAATATACCAAAACAACAATAGCCAAATAAGGAGCCTTTGATACCACAGTAAGTAACTGCTTCCAATCACAATTCTGTTCAATTTCTCGACAATCCGAGGGGCTCATGCGATAGGGGCTTATCGTTGCAAATAAATCAAAATGTGCGCAAGATAATCAAGTTAATTGCTGAGACAATAATTATGACTAAATTTATAGTATCACTTCAAAATTATTTCGCTAATTAAAATGTAGCCAACTTAACACACAAACAACGAAGGCACTTCGAAGTTGCCTAGGCTTTTGGGTTGTTGATTTCGATTTGGCTCGCTTTCGAACTATGTATATATATTTTTATATAGTATTTGGCAAATTGAAAAAATCATGGTGAGCCTCAATTTCCGCCAAAAGACGAGTCATATAATTTATTATCAGCATTTCGAATCTTTGATAACAGTTTGAACTGGATTCAACTCGGATCAGCTGTGGGGAAGTTATCATAACAGGAGTTTACTATATTTTTCTTAAGGTGAACCTTTATCAGGGGGTTTTATCTGATTATTAAAATGGCTTAGATATTATTTTATTATATTCTAATTTATTTCAATTTATTTACGGAATATGTGATCGGTTTTTTTAATAAAACTTAGTTGAAACCGATGTTTTACGTAAGTAGCCATTTCTTACCCTATAAACCATATACATATATTCTTGATCAGCATTAACAGGCGAGTCTTTCTGGACATGTTGGAGTAAAAAAACAAAATTTTAATTTTTTTTCATAACATGATAAGGGGTTACATCATTAAAATTCTCAAAAATCGATCAAAATTTTGTTTTTTTTTAATTCTAAATTTAGTATGCAGATTTCTTCATCTACAAAAGTACATAGAAAAGCTTTCCGAATGGAATTTTCTGCTTTTTTGACATAGTTATGCTCGTTTTTTGCAAGGGTTTACACATTTCGGCTTCCCGAAGTTAGTTTCTTTTCTAATTTTCTTTTAAAATCCAATACTATAACAATTATCATTATATAAACCCCCTGATTGTATACCTACATTTAATTTAATTACTTTCTAAATTGGCACAATAACAATTAGCTGAGCGTTCTTGTTATTCCCTAAATTCAGAGATCACATAAGGTGTGAATTCATTTGGAATTGTTCCGGACCAGAACCCGTACCCAAACTCAAACCCACTTTTATTCCCATTCTCTTGGAGAGAACTCGTCTGTCCACTTTATCACGTAGTTCTCAAGTATTTCATAGACTCGCACGCGGACGGACTCTACGGTTTTTATCGTGCCTGTTGGTTTGCCTTGAAGTATGCTTTATATTGTTATTATTGGTTGTTTGATCTGTTGCTGTTGTGCTGGCCTTATTGTTGTTGTTATTATGCAGCAGTTTCTTGTTGTTTGATGGGCTAATAAAAATTCATTTCGCTCTTGCTGCGAACACGTAGCGCATTTTCATATAAATAACTGAAAGAAACACTAAAATTTGTGGGAAAGAGGAGAAGGATATGTGAAACTGTGGTTTTTGGAAAGCCTTATAGGAAAAATACTAATTATTATAATTAAATTCAAGTCATTATTAATTAAACCATACATTTAAATGTTTTTATATAAAATATACTAAGCTTGCTTTATTTTATTTTATTAAAAGTAACTCAATAATAATTAAAATTCTCATTAAATTATATGAATCTACCCTTACCCGCTTAACCCATTACCCACTGAACCTCTGACAACCTTTCTCCTCTGATCTTAACCCACTGTGCACCATGGACTGCGGTTGCTGATGCTGCGCTTTATTTTGATTTGCCTTGAAGTGGCCAAATGTGTTGAACCAGAACGAACAATGAAAACGGGGGGGAAAGGGAAAGATTTCTCCCTAATTTCAATTCATTGAGCTATTAGCGGGTAATTTGCAGCAGGAGAATTTCATTGAAAAACCCTCGGCGAGACCTGAAAAGGGTGACAAAGATCAAACCGTAGAACTGGAATTGGTTTTCGGGTTGGTTTTTCAGCTCTTGGGATGCCCGCTGCTGATTGTCGCATCTGTTGCAAATTAAATGTGAGTTATAATTTCTATAAACACACTAGCACCGGAATTGCGGAAGGCACACACCCAGAAAATCGCCGTTTGAATTGAGGGTTCAATTCCCCTTTCTCCTTCCTCCGGATTCCGGACCCTCTTCGTTCCCTTCGCCGTCTGACTTTGGTTGCCATTGTTGCTGGTGTTACAATTTGGTTATCCCCTGTTGGGCAACGTCATCAGTTGCACTGAGAACAACGAGAAATAACAAAAACTTATAAGAACTTTTTTGGATATTATTGAAATTTTATAAACTAATATTAAGCCCAGTTTTCGTATTTATGAAAGATATAATGCTATTTTTACTCATCAGTATTAAATGTTAATTAAATTTAATAAGAAAAACTTACTTATTCCCCGTTTTCTGCCTGAACCACTTGGGAATTATACTGAAACGCAAGCGGAAGGTGAGTCACTAACAGAAGATCCTTTTGTTTTCTTTAGTTTTTGTTTTTCTTACTTCTTCTTTTCTTAGGATAAAATATTTTAGAAAAGCTTATCAAATTCCTTAAATTAAGGAAAACGGAGGTAACAATGATAAAAATATAAACTATCTATAGATTAAATAATTTAAAATAAAAATTTTATATTTTTCAAATATATATTAAAATATACTAATGCAATATTTTTAATATTATTGCATTATATTTAATTTTCTTATACTTATGTATGTACTTCTTCACATTCCTTTTCTCTCAGTGATGGACAACCCCTCGTGTGCATTTATAGTTTCCTAGTCCCCGGTCCCAATTTGATCTTCATGTCAACACAGATGATCACATTTTATGCTTAATTTTGTTATATGTGATGTTTGCTTTACTGATTTAGCACACCACTTCCCCCTACCCATCCATTTATCCTTCCTCGCATCCTCACCCTTACCATATTCGCATTGGGTGAACTTTTGCGCTAATATCCAATAGAATTTTCCTCGATTTTCAATTTTATTGTCAAATATGTGCGATTATTGTCATATGTTGGATTTTATTATTGTCAAATTTGCATTTGTCTGGGGGATCGACGTCCGGAGTTGGGGGGCATCTAAGCGGTTATTGCTCGTTAGCCAGCTAGCTGCTAATGGTTGTTTGCACTGTCAGCTGCCAGGACGTGGCGAAGGGACGCGGGTCAGGATGCTGCGGTGCCCTATTGATTGGCCCCGATTGATATCACAATTGATGGGCGGCATTCCGTTTTTAATTGCCGTCGTTTTGGGACAAATCCTTTCTAATTATTAGAGGGGGAAATAGCCCATAGAAAGTAGGCACATATGCGCATATTGTGGGTTTAGAGTGATGGTTTTTGTGTTATCTTTGGTATTAAGCATCCAGTTACTAAATTATCTTTTAAAAATCCTTAGTGGAATTTATTAAATTTATTATAAATCGATTTTTTTATATGAACAACTGCTTTACTGTCACAGATTGTGAGATTCTTATTGTTTATAAATTAAATAATTACCTCAACTTGATTAAAAACCATAGTAAATATTTGTAAAAACCAAAATTAGGCTTCTTAAAGATTCCCCAAAACCTGTTCAAGTATTTTCTACCTCCCCCTGCTACCTGCAACCCCTCTGGAATTCCCTCAGAGCTACGTTAAATTTTTGCTAATTAACTCAACATAAGGTTTTCTAATTTCATTTAACGCCAAGCCATAACAGAAACAGCAACAGGAACGAAAAGATGTGAGAGCAGTTGGTCCAAAGCAACCCTCTCTTGGCCACCCCTTAACCCATGGCTGCCCCCGCCTCCTACTTCGTCCTGGCTTCAGTCGTTTGGTATCATTAGCCTCTGGGGATGATTTGTTGTTGTTTGGCAGCACTTGATCAGCGCAGCAATGAATTCAATTAGCACCAAAACACCAAAAGAGCGCTGCAGGAGGGGCAGCCGGGGGTTAAGGGTTGGGGGGTGGATGGATGTGGCACTTGCTGCCGGCGCAGGAACATCCAGAAATCCAGAGTCAGAGGCGTAGAAAAGGGACGGACACACCCTTGCCATTAGAGGAGGATGAGAGAGGAGGAGGGGAAGTCTGGTCAATTGTTTGGATTATTTTTCTGGTGAATTATTGCGTGTTGACGCATATGGTGACAATTTTCCTTAGAAATCGTGCTGTCTCCCTCTCGATTTTCCTCTTTCCCCTGTAATTTTTCCTTTCCTAATGCCCCGAGCAATTAGCTTTGATAGAGGAATTGTTCTGGCTCTCGCGAAAATTTCCTAACGATTAATTTGAAATTATTTTGACAGAACCAGGACATTGACATCCATTGGGTGCGTTCTGAATATCGAAATCGCCAGGAAATCGTTTGGAGATCGCTGAGAGAAATTCAGTTTTGATTTGTAAATCAAATTATAGATTACTTGATTATTAAGAGTGACCATTAGGGCCCCTTGAGAACACTTCCAGTTTCTGTTTTTGCCTTCTATGATATTTTTTCAATATTTTAAAAATATAAGTTGTTGAAATATTCCTTTTTTTGTTTAAGATTAAATAAGGAAGTATATTTTATTTCAACATAAATATTAAATAAACCAATTTATAATTTAACAAAATCTACTAGTAATTGATA